ACTACTACTACTACTACTACTACTACTACTACTACTACTACTACTACTACTACGACTACGACTACGACTACGACTACTACGACTACGACTACGACGACTATAACTACTACATCTTCGCCTCGATTAGGCTTATTTTACTGTCTTTTCAAATGTTAAATGGTCTGTTGATGATGATAAAACACTCTATTCCGACCCTCCCCTCCCCCAATCAAAGTACAGAAAGAAATTAAAAAAACAACAACCCAAAAAACATTTCAAAACAAAAAAACTACAACATCCAAAGAAAGCTCTCAATCAAACCTCCCGCGTCCAATAAATCCGCCAGACCAATGTTGTTTAATTGTTGGTACTTTTTATGTCTATTAAAATAATATTGAAAATATTGATGAAAGTAATTATTCTGGTTCTTAAATACATTTGTTAAAACATTTCCTCTTTTCTTTTTATTTCTTTTTTTTGTTTTAAAGTCAAGTATAGTCTTGAAAAGAATGCTTTCATAACTTTGAGAAATTCCACACTATAACTGTGACTGGATAATGTGAAAACGACAAAAATGATGATCTAGCTTGCAGTGATGATAACGATAATGAAAACACAATAAAATAATATTAAAAAAAAATAATAGCGAGTGATAACAAATGGTGTAATACAATTAAAATGCTCGTAGCTGAAGGAGTGACAAATGCACCCAGGCATGAAGATGTCATAAGAATAAGAGATTAGAAAAATAAAATAAAATGAATGATGGATCAACTGAAAGCTATTGGAAGAAAAAGAAATAAAATAAGATAACATGTCACATTTGAAAAGAAAGGCTAAAAAAATAATAATAGAAAGGAGATATAATAAACTAATCAGGCACAACCCATTCTCCAAACCAAAATAAATAAATAAATAAATAAATAATAAATAAATAATTCTTTTAAAAACATTGATAAATACATCTTTTTAAAAATTATATTCAAAAATTATTAAATGACATATTCCTGACACAGATATAAGGTGTTAGAATAAAATAAGAAAGACAGGACATTAAAGCACAGTCATGTAATATTATAATCAGTTTTTTAAAAATTAAAAAGGAATGTGTAAATTTAAAATACAATGTGTCTGTAAACGAACATAACGTAAATCCATTGAATGAAAGCAATTACTTCTCATAAAAACAAAAAGACATGGAATTTTTCAAGAAAAAAAGGATAAATTTATTTGTTTCTTCACTTACGCATTCATTCATTCATTCATTCATTCATTCATTCATTCATTCATTCATTCATTCATTCATTCATTCATTCATTCATTCATTCATCCGCACGAACATTAATTGTCAGATTAACTTTTGTTTACATATTGAAAAATGTGCAACCTTTACACCGCCTCATTCTTTTTCATTAATTTTTCTCTGTTGCCATTTTGAAAGAAAAGCAATAGATCTGCATTATACGGTTAAAAACAAGTAATATCACACCCCCCCCCCCCTTTCTTTTTTGTTTACTCCTCCATTACCGTTCGATCAGCTGTTTCTCCATTTCCAGACGATGTTATCAATAACCATCACCGAGAGAAAGAATTTGATTAGGAAAGTTTTCAACGTTAAAAGAAATACAGCCTTTTGTTGTCATTTTAATTATTAAAAAAAAAGAAGGAAAAATCGTTTTTTCGTGTACATTAAAAACAACAATAACAACAACCACACCATAACCAACGCCGCTTTCCCCTGCAAAAACGAACAAACAAACAAAACAAAACGAAATAAAAAAAACAACAACCTTTGTTTGCGACACTATACGTTTAACTCAATGTCGTGTAAATCGAATCTTGTGTTGATTGATTTAATCCGTTTATTAAAATCTAGTTGTTTTTTTTCCCTTTGTGAATCAGTTCTTTTTAGCCCTGAAACGTGGATTTCGCTGCATCAATTAATAAGTTAATCAGTAGTGTTGCCTTAACGAGTGTATTCCGATCAGTTTTGAGCTAATCAGTAGTGTTGATTTAAAGAGTGTATTCCGATCAGTTTTGAGCTTCAGCTTAGAGAAAGACTTATCAGGTGGCCACGGGACTCAAATGAATGAATGAACGAATGAATGAATGAATGAATGAATGAATGAATGAATGAATGAATGAATGAATGAATGAATGAATGAACTGAGTTCGATAATGACAATACTAATGATAATAA